CATAGGTGCACCAACTACTTGCCCATATATATAACACATTTACATGCACTGAAGGACAGGTGACACGCACTGGTTGGTTCGCAGTTCACTCCTGGGCCGTCGTTCACACCAGAACGCGACTATATATATATATATATATATATATATATATATATATATATATATATATCAATCATCATATGAGAACACTTGTTTAGGTGAGAACGTGAGAATAAATCGTGTGCATCTAGTAACGTGTAGCTTGTCTCCCATGGATACACACGATTTGTTCTCACGTTCTCACCTAAGCAAGTGTTCTCATTGGAACTCTTCTCTAGTAACGTGTAGCTTGTCTCCCATGGACCACCTGCAATTCTTTGGGGAGGGGTATAAATTCTAATTTAGCAATTTGAGGGAATTGCAATTCTCTCCAATCAAACGGCGTAATTGTGGCTTCCTTGGAATTACAATTCAACTGCAACCTTTTCTGACTGACGACACGGACAACAATGAAAAAAACAGAGAATCCTATTTAATTAATATCCGATGAGAATTGAATGAATTCTATTGATTAAACTTAATTGCATAGATACAAGATACAATATATATATATATATATATATATATATATATATATATATATATATATATATATATATATATATATATATATATATATATATATAGTGAGGGAATCACAGCGATACTAGGATATGAAATTATAATCTAACCCAAATGCATAGAGTCCTAATAGACGGATACCGTGAATCGGCGGGGAACAACTACTAGCATTAGCTTAAAATTAGAATTATAATATTTACAAACAGTGTATGCTCTTTTTTACATTTATTCTGATTCTCACATATAAATATATATGACCACGATTTGGTTTTGATTTTGAACCGTCGGTTCACAGTTCCGGATCCAGTTTGAACTACTGGTTCAAACTTCAAACTTTATTTTAAAATAGTTTAAATTCAACAATAAATTATTTTATTTTTTTTCAGTTCGGAACATGAACCGGTCGTTCTGATTCACAATTTTTATAAACTCTAAATATCGGGTTTCAATTCTAAATTATAATCGGAATATTTCAGTTTGGTTGCTAGTGTAGGTTCGATTTGAGCCAAATCGTGGTCATTATATGTTGAAGAAGAAAAATAAATGAAATATTTATTTTAAAGGTAAATATGTATATTTAACATTTCAGAATGAAAAAATATCATTTAATAATTCAGAGAGAAAATGTGTTATAAGTATATAACTCAAGAGAAAAAATGATATTTTTCCTAAAATAAAATTAACAAATTTCGATATGAAATTATCATTGTGACACACAATTTGGGCAACCTCAACCCACTATAGTAACCGGGCTAATTGAGTGCTACTGTAGTGGGCTGAATTGCCCATTTGCCACCTCTATTATTTTCAAATAGATTATTGATATATAAGTTTAAGCAAGATCAATGGTTCAGATTAAACTCCACACCTGAGGTGCCCATCCACACGGGAACCGACTTCTATGTATATATATATATATATCTACTATCTACTATACTAATAAGAGCCCAAGAGAGTTAGGCTTATAATGGGTAGAAAAAATGGCGGTCACAGATTTTAATCAAATGAATGGCTCAGATTGATTAAAAGATTGATCAGATTTAAATTTTACACTAAAATTTCCTAAAATACCCACACACCGTTACTAATTCCGTTAAAATTTTAAGAATTGCCGTTAGTTAACCGTTAACTTACTCATTGATTTCAATAAAAAAAAAGTCTTAGGTTCGAACCTCATCCCAATTAAAGTTGGCATAATTAGTACTCTATTTTACTCTTATTAAATTATATATAAAAATAATAATAATTTAGTAGTTACAACAAAAAATAATACATATGCATTTCTTTACTTTAGAATTATGTGTTCACAATGTCTTTATTAAAAAAAAAAAATTCTATTAGTTATATTGTCTTTATTTTTCTTCAATATAAAAATTCTTTATATTCAAATTTATTAATTGATTATATTCGCTACATTGTCCTTACAATGTCTTTATTCAGTGAAAAACAAATTATTAATTATCAATAAATTAATTAAAAGAAATATTTTCATTAGTTATATTGTTTTTATTTTTCTCAAATTCAAAAATTTTTACATTCAAATTCATCAATTGATTATATTCACTACATTATCTATTATCTTTTTTTGTGCACTATTTTTCTAATTAAATATCAAAGTTATAACATAAAATAATGCTATATATTTATTTACCAAGTATTTTATTAATATCATGAAAAAATTAAAAAATATATATAATTAATAAAGCCAACCATATTAACTACTTGAGAGATTTTGTGACAAAGAGAGTATTCAAATCACACAATAAGTGAGAACTACCTCGCAATGTCCTTGTTTGACAATTAGTAGTTAGCGGTTAACGTTAGCGGATTATACAAGCGGATTTGACCAACGAATTTATTTAATTATTAACATTGGGTAGAAAAAATGACCGCCAAATTATTAAATCAAATGAATGGTTCATATTTTTCAGGTTTTAATTTTTTTTCTTTTAAGATTTTCTAATTTATCCTTAATTATATGATTATCCATTTAACTTTTCCGTTAATTCACCGTTAGTCTAATTCTAATATTAAAGTCTAATATAGAATTATAACTACACCATTAATCTAATTCTAATATTAAAGTCTTAATAGAACTTAACCACAAATCCTAATGTCGGAATCTCCTAAAAAAATATTAGTATATATTTCATATTTTATGCCCTTATGTCCCGTATTTGGTTTCAACCATACCTATACAATTATTTTATTGACAATTATAATCAATATTGACTATATTATCTTGCATTTGTAAACTTAGAATTACCTATTTAACCTGCACGGGCTTAGCTCAATGGTTTAGTGGGTAGTATTTGGGAGAAGAGACCAAGGTTTGAACCTCAGCGGCGGCAATGCGTGAATTATGTCCAAAGTGGGCAGATTCCTTGTGCGTACCAGCATTTGGCCATGTCTGCTGAACCATTGAGTCACCGTGATTTACAACTTCCCACAATGCTCTGTCGGGTCGGAGTGTGGGGGGGCCTTGGGGTTGGGGACTCAACCTTTGGGAGAAGAATTACATATTTAAATACGCAAATTCAACCTTCAATTATCTATGCATGAACAATTTCAATATAATCTTGCCTTAATATACTTTAAAGTACTTATTTAAAAAAAAAAAAAAAACATTGGGCATTATCCCAATCGCGCAATGCGCGTAAAAAACTAGTATATATATATATATATAAATGGTAACTTTCCGCGAGAGGGTGTAGCGGAAAGTGTTTATTAAAAATAAAATAAAATTCATATACGTTCCGCGACACCCTGTATGAGTGTCGCGAAAAGTCAAACACTTTCATAGACACCCTAATCCGCTACACATGTACACAGGTGTAGCGGAAACACTTTTATAGATGTAGTGGATGTGCTTTTTTGTACTAGTAAAAGAATATGTGTTTACCTTGTCTCATAATCAAAGCTACACCTGTACAAGTGTAGCAGCGGAAACACTTTTATAGGTGTAGTGGATGTATTTTTTTTACTAATGTAAAAGAATATGTGTTTACCTTGTCTCCTAATCAAAGCTACTAAAGATCCAACATTCTTGAATTCAGAGATACCACCTCAACCCGCGAAAGATGTAGCCGAGTAAGTGGAGAATAATTCTTGTAATAAAAGCCAGGGGTTAATTCAATTTTTGTACTGTCAGCAACTTTTCAATCAAACTTGTTGTATATGATTTTTTTTTTTTAATGCAGTTCAGCTCCGTTGTGTGATTTACGTATCTATAAATAATCTTACATAAATAATCTTTTTCAAATGAATAAGTTTTTTGTGGAGATTTTCGACAAATATTGCCTGTTATTTTGTGTATAAATTTTATTTAAATGCGTTAGTTATATAATTAAAGTATTATTTCAAATTCAAATAATAATACAAGTAACAATAACCTTTAAAATAAACATAATAATAACCTAATTAAACTTTTAAAAATATTAAATATTAAATTGTATAGTTATACTTACACGTTTAATAAAACTAATTCTGAGCTGAAGAACTAAGTTTTTCTGTTTCCACAATCATTACTTTCTTTGTTAATTTTAGAAAATGTCAAAAATTTAATTGATACATTTGTTAAATTAATAATAGTACGTGCATCGCACGGGACAATTAATAATAATAATAATAATAATAATAATAATAATAATAATAATAATAATAATAATAATAATAATAATAATAATAATAATAATAATAATAATAATAAGTATGTGGTTTTGAATTTTATACTATTTCTTCCCTTTACATAATAATGTGCAGTGTAAGTACAATAGATAATATTATGTTTTTTTTTTTTTTTTCAAAATGACAAAATTGCTATATATCTGGACAAAATATATCATTTATACAAATGAATTAGGATAGCAATTGATTACTATAACTAAATTGCTAGAGAACGGACACATTTTCCCAACTTATAAAAATCCTAAACAGTTGATATATAAAAATCTCTATAGTTATAACACTGCATGCGTACATATATATATATTAACTATTAATTTGAGCAATTATTTGCTCGAATTCAAGCAATGATAACATCATCAAACATAAACGATTCAACCATATCTTCAATTACACTATATCGATCCAAATATTTCTTAATATATTATAACAAATCCATTACGTGCATCGTACAAGTGAAAATACTAGTTATTACACAATAGCAGGATTAACATAATGCATACATTAAAAAAATAATAATAAGAGATTCCCTTTGAAGAATCAGAACCCAATATATAGTTTGCTTAACCTCCTCATTTGCCTCTCCCACCACTTCACCCCAAAACCTTCCTTTGTTTCCACTCAAAGAACCCACACGTACTCCTTTTAAGGCCAAACCCAAACACAAAGTAAACCTTAAAACAAAAACAAAAAAAAAACAAAAAAAAAAAAAAAACATGTCTCAACAATTCCAACCCCTAATTTACCCATACAACAATGTCCCAGTCCACCCAGACAGCACCAATAATATCCCATCCCAATCCTCCTCCTCCTCATCCTCCCATTCAAACGGATCCTTCGGGACAGTGTTCTTGGTCCTCGCCGTCATCCTAGTCGTAAGCGTCCTGGCTTGCATCGCCAACCGCCTCTGCAGAAGAAGAAGCAGCGACCACCACGATCACAACCCTAAGAACACCATGAAAATCCACGATCACGGCCCGCATGGCGGCGATGGAAAGCTGCCGAGAGAGTGGGAGGGGAAACTACAGAGCCATGAAGGAGGAAGGGATTTGGAGCTTGGGAAGAGAATTATTGGTTCTGCAAAAGTGGCGGCGGCAGCCGGTGGCGGTGGGGATGAACCATCTACCAGTAGCTTTATGGCACCCGATAATGGTGGGGGGAAAGGAGATAGAGCTGCTAGGTTTGCTGTTCATCATATGCAGTTCAAACCCGCCACCAGATCATCATACTAAGCTCTGGAATAATATACTCCGATCCGGCCCGGGTTTAACTCAATGATCCTGTAAGCAGTATTTGAAGAATATACTCTAGATCCAACTGTTAACGTTAGATAATGATTCTTAATTGGCATGGATGATGAATGAACTTAATTTAATTACTTGAAATTATGTATGTAATTAAATTTAATCATTACAAAAATCTTGTAAATTTGTATTGTATTGCATGGGGTATTTCAGTATTTGGTTATGAATGCTTCAATAAAATATTTAATTTACACTTGATACCAATGTTGTAAAAATCGCGCTGGCGCCTAGGGGCTAGGCGTTAGGCGCTGCCCGGCCGCGGCGAGGAAGGCCGGAATCGGCCTCCTTCGCAGCGGGACGGCTAGGTGGCCGCCTAGATTGCCTAGCTGGCTGAACCGTACACTTTTTTTTTTTTTTTTTTTTTTTTAAGGGTTATTCGCCAAATGACCAAAATACGCCAATTTACAATATTAGTATTGACTTGTCGTAGTTTGTACTAGTTGCAAAGTATAAAAACTTTGACGAGGCATAATTTTTGACTCGGTTATTTATTTTGGACAAAAAATAAATAAATTGAAATCGCGTAATAAAGGGCAATATAGTAATTTCTTAGTTTTTCCCTTTCCTAGCTACCACCAAATTGGAATAATTCTATTAATTCCCATGGAATATGAATTCTAATTCAACAAATTGAGGGAATTGCAATTCCCTCTAACTAAACACTATAATTAGAAATGTGAAAGAGGTATGTTTTAATTAAAATGTAATTCATGTCAACTAAATGGGTCGTAAATGTCATATCTAAAGCATGTGTAACAAACTAGGCTTTCATATATAACTTTTTGAATTAAGTTTATTGAACTAATTTGACGTACAATATTCCATCAAAAAAGTTTTATAATATATTTTCTATAATTTTCAGTAAACTTTAAACATCATATCAGATGCAGTTATCATCATACATTGGATTTTATTTAGAAAAAAAAAATTTATTACAGAAAATTAACTGATCTGTAAAAGGTGGAATAATTTTGTTATTTGTACAAAAGTATATCTCTACCCCACACACATGCCATATGAATAGTACCGCAAACTAATTTTCAAACTAGTACCTCTTAACAGAATCACACACACACACACACAGATATATATATATATATATATATATATATATATATATATATATATATATATATATATATATATATATATATATATATCTCTTAAAATCTTAATGGTATATTCTCCCCATAATATATAGTAAAAATAAATTCCCAATATATAATTTAAAGGTGTGGGGAGAGGTGGGAGTTTGGAGTTTAGGTGAGAACATACTTCTCGTGTAAAAAGTAAAAGTTAATATGATCCATTATTTATTTAAATTGATCATCGATAGATGATTATTGAAAAATAAACAGAAAAAATTACAAACTTAAAAATTTGTAATAATTATAAAATTACCCTTTCATTTTTTTAGTTAAACATTTCAACAATTAGTAAACCCTTAGCAAGTATGTGTGTGTGAAAGAGAGAGATCAGGTGATGAGAACCACATGTCCATGAAAGAATTGAGAACTACATGTCCATGAGAGAACTGAGAACCAATCACAGTCGTCCACGTCTCCAGATCTAACAGATCAAAAACACTATTTTTTTAAAAATGCGATGAGATTTTCATAAATAATTGAACTTCAAAGTGCAAGTAATAGTTTCATGTAGTACGTGCACCTAAGTGCAAGTAAAATGTATTAAAAGTGTAGTATCAATATTAAATGCACCTAACGTTATCATTAATTGCATCAAACGTTATCATTAAGTGCACCAATGTGAAAGTTATCATTAAGTGCACCAATGTGAAAGACGTTATCGTTAAGTGCACCAATAATGTTAAAAATGTATATTACTTGCATTATTAAGTGAAAATGGTTGCACTTTTAAATGATTTTACTTGCACTTTTATTTGCACATTTGCACCAATTACTTGCACCAAAATTTAAGTTATTTATGAAAATATCACCACGTCTTTTTTGTTTTAAATTACATTTGATTTGATAAATCTGAACAACACATGAACGACTACGTTTGATTCTCAGTTCTTTTTTAGCATCCATTCTCACTGAGCGTGCCCCTATATATATAACCAAACAAGATGTTTGGCAGTATCGTTTTCAGCAAATCATGGTCCACACAGTGTTGTATGGACCATAACAAAAAGTACATTTTTAATATACTAAATGTACATTATTCATGTACTGAATGTACATTGTACAAAATAATATACTTTCAATACTCAAATAATGTACATTCTCTGGATACAATGTACATTTTTAATATACTAAATGTTCATTATTTTTGTACTGAATGTACATTATTTTACAATATACAAAATATGGTCCACACAACTTGTATGGACCATGGCCTGCACAATAATGATTGATCATTTTCTAGGTAGCACATGAACATGAAATTGAACGAAAAATATTTTTTGAATAGTATTGACTCTATTACATTGTAGTATGTATCGTAGTATACGTTCAAACATATTCACTGAGGCTTGATCTCATGACCTTGTGAGATGTCATTACATGCCATCTGAGAAGGTGCTTGTCTTGAACGAAAATATAAAACCCAAGGAAATGAAATTTACGAAAATAACGCGAGAAAAAGTTTAGAACAGTAGAAAACATTTTGAGAAGTAAATCTTTTACTCTTTAGGGGGCGTTTGGTTCAGGTTATATTACATAACCAAGGGAATGTGACATTCCCGAGCTTACATTCCTGTGTTTGGTTCATATTCTCGGAGGGAATATAACATTCCCAGGGAATGAAACATTCCCTCCACATAGGATTTTGAAGGGAATGTGATTCCCTTCATTTTCTAAGATTATGTAAGATAACCTTGGATATTTATAAATTTTGTCATTTTAATTCTATATAGTATAATATCCTTAACATATTTACATATATATATATATATATATATATATATATATATATATATATATATATATATATATATATATATATATATATATATATATATATATATATATATATATATAAAAGATAACCCTAAACCAAACACAGGAATATATATATATATAAAAGATAACCCTAAACCAAACATGATTATATTACATACCTCAATTTTAACCAAACACAGGAATCTAACATTCCCAGTAATCTAACATTCCCAGCAATCTAACATTCCCTAAGGTAATCTAACATTCCGTGAACCAAACGGCCCCTTAAAGTTTTTGTACGTACATTATTATGAGTGGTTTCTATGTGTAGCCTAACTTTACCTTCTGGAGTAATCTAAGCATGTCTTTTTTTAAGTTGTTATAGTGAAATGTTTTGAAATTTCGACCTTTTAGTGGTACTCCCTACCCCCCAACTTTGTTTTGTTGGTACACCAGAATATATAATCATTGAATTCAAAACTTTTTGTATAAAACATCATGTCTTGTACTTCTGGTCATACTTTTCTAATTTGGTGATCTATAATTAAATTAAATTTTGATTTAAGTTTTAATAGGAGTAGAATGTAATAAGTTGCAACGATAACTTATACTCATTTTGTTTAAATTTTTAAATTCTTTCTAGTTTTACCCATATTTTTTTTAAATATAAATTGTTAACAAAGTTAAATTACATATTAAATATAATAACTTAGTATAACCCGTTGCATTGGATCTTCTTAGTGTAATTTATCACTCCTATATAATTTCTGAGCTATTACACAATAACACAATAGTAGAGTTTATTTAGTACGTATTCTCAAATAGTATATATTAATTTCTCTAGTTAATACTCCGTAATAATCAGTACAGTGACAATGCGCAATATTCGACTAGTATTAAAAAATTAAAAGTAAATGGGGTGTTTGGTAAATAGTTGTTAGTTGATTGTGTTAGTGTGTTTGATTAGTTGATAGCATTAGTTGATTGTAGAAAATTGTTTAGTAAATTAGTTGTTAGCTGCTTTCATGCAAAATGACTTTCTCAAAAAACTGATCGAAAAAACTGCTTTGAACAACTTTTTGAATTTTAGCATTTTGAAGAAATAAACAATTACAAAAAGCTAATTAATCAAATACTCATTGATTCATTTGATTGTTTAACAAAGTCAAACAATTAATAGTGGTCAAATAAGCCAACATTGACTGATAAACAGTGTTGAAAAAGACGCTAGGCGCCTAAATTGTGTGTTTTTTTTTAAGGTTATTCGCCAAAATGATGTCGTTTTAGCGAATAACCTTAAAAAAAAAAAAAAAAAAAAAAAAAAGTGCAGCCGGCAGCGGAGGATACCGATTCTGGCGTTCCTTATTGTGGCTAGACGCTGATTAATCGGTGCCTAGGTACGATTTTTGCAATTGTGCTAATAAGCTAATTATGTTACCAAACAGTGCCAAAGTATTACTCCCTACTTTTTCAAGAATTATATTTTAAAATCTTAGAAAAATACATCTTGATTTAAAACACTAGATAGAATTAAAGTTTGTAGAGTATGAACTAATTAGAAAACAATTTCCAAGATATTTTATGAAAAGTTTTTCATAAAGAATATTTTCAAGACTAAAATTTCCATGCTAGCAAAAAAAAAAAAAATCATAACCTTTGTAGTACAGTTATTATTACCTTTCTGTTGGGCATTTTGAACCATTGGATGGTATGACTATGAAACTGAAACTACCTATTACTTTGTCCTCCTATTGCAGTTTTCCAGTCAATTCTTCATTTCTACCCCTTTGCATATAATCTGAATAGAGACAGAGAGGGAGACAGGCAGTACAAGATGCTTCTGACAAAGATTTTCCCGCTGATATAAACGATTCCCATTTCAGACAATCGGTTAAACCGTTGTCCGAAAGCAAATTTGTTGTTATGAGCCGTGGGAACCAGGGGGGACATTATTGTTATACAAAGTGCAGAGGTTTCTGGGAAGCAGTCTTTATAGTAAATGCCATTGGAGGAGTTGATGAGCCTATCATGGGAGCTTCCGAGACGGCTTTGCACTGGTTAAGGCCGCTGGTGGAGTCCAAGAATTGGGATTACTGCGTTATTTGGAGATTGGGCGATGACCCTTCCAGGTAAACGTAAATGTCTAAACACTGATTACTGATGAAACATAACTTGCATATGTGGTGTTTGATTTTATGCCTGGTGTGTTTTAGGTTTATTGAGTGGGTGGGGTGTTGTTGTTGCGGAGCGTATGGGGTTCTTTGCAATGTGAAGAAGGAAAAAGGGGTGGAGCAGGATTTGGGTCCTTTGTGCAGGGATGTTCATGTTCAGCATCATGTGAGAACAATGGCTTGTGAAGCACTTGCTTCTTTTCCTACCTCTATTCCCTTGTATTCTGGGTATGTTTTTGTCTCTGTCTTTATCATTTTGCTTCCTTGTTAGTAGTGTTTCGTTTGTTGTTTCTGATATTGGCACTGATGACAATAGGATTCGAGGAGAGGTAGTAATATTGAAGGAGCCCAAGTGGTTAATCCATGGATATGCATCAGATTCAAAGGCCCCAGATGTGAGTAGTATACTGTTTCTTCCTTCTGGTTATGTTTCTGTGAACTTAAACCTTGCCGTGTGAACCTACCCGGAAAAGGATCACAAGGAGGTAAATCAGTTTAGGTTGCCATTTATCAGCTCAAACCAAGAAGGCGTATAAGTCAAACTTGAAACATTGTGGTTACCAAGCCAATAGTCTGACCAACTTGATTGAGATTGCCCCTAATTTCAAGTTTTTCTTGATTGAATATATGAAGATCCTCATGAAATGCTTAATGTAGTTGAAACTGAGTTCCACACTGTCCTGTTTAAAACTAGAGTTTAAAGTTTTCCTCATTTGGCAGGGGACCAGTGGTACTCAGGTTTTGATTCCTGTAGCTGGTGGTCTTATTGAGCTCTACAGTTCAAGGCTGGTAAGACTCATTCTTGACTATTACTAAAACAGTTTAAGAAATTTAATCTCTGAAACCAAGCTCATGTATGTGTATATGATCTGTTGATTCCTTTTCTGCAGATCCCAAAAGATCAGAAGACAATAGAGTTTGTTAAAAATAGGTTCAAGTTCTATGTAGAAGAAGCCATGAATGATATGGCCTATTTCAGTATGAGCAGACAACAGCAAGCTCTTGATTTATCTCTGCACTGTGCTGATTTGCTTGCTACAGCGCAACTTTCTCAAGTATCTGAACCCTGCAGTAACCCGAGCATCCACGGGTCTTCTACTGGTTCTACTCCCGCAAGTACCGAACGCTTGCAGTGTGATTCGGTTTCTAACCTTGTGTCTCTAAGCGAATCGTTTAACCAGTCAAATGACCTGTTCAAGGAGAAAATGAAGCTGCATTGCAATCAACATCCAACCACGATGAAAATCGATGATCTTTCACTGAGTTGTGTAACCTATGATATTGCTAGAAATGCCGTTGTAACTGGCCAAAAGAGGCAGAGAGGACAATACCGTTCTAAGAATCTTGTGACAGAGAGAAACAGAAGAAACAAAATAAAAGACGGTCTCTTTGCTCTAAGGGCTCTAGTTCCCAATATTACTAAGGTTAGATAGCTCTCTTTCTCAATGTTGAAAAAATTGCTAGGCGCCTGGGGACCGCCTAGGGCGCCTAGGCAGGCGCCTAGAACGCCTAGGCCGCCTAGGAGGCAGGCGCCTAGAACGCCTAGGCCGCCTAGGAGGCAGGCGCCTAGAACGCCTAGGCGGGCGCCTAGGCCGCCTAGGAGGCCGAGTGCCTAGCGCCTAGGCGCGATTTTTGCAACATTGCTCTTTTTTTTTGTTTCCATATGATGATTTTGGAATTCATTGACAGTTGCTCTTGTTCCTACACTTATGAGAATATCTTACAGATGGACAGGGCGTCAATACTTGCAGACGCTATTGATTACGTAAGGGAACTTCAACAGATTGTGAAGGAGTTAGAGGACGAGCTGAATGAGATTGATGAAGACGATGCCAGTCAGAGAATAGCCCAACATGTGACCCCCGATCTTAATGAAGAGCGCAAAGATAGTGAACAGACTTCAAAGAAGAGCCAGAGCTCATGCAGTATCAGTAACAACGTCCCAAAGAAGGTATTAGCCATTTCTTGTTCTTGACAATAAAATGATCTGCATATTTGCATAAGAAGGCTGACATGGTTTTGCATCTTCTGTTAAGGCGCACGTGGAAGTAAACCAGATTGATGCAAGAGTTTTCATGCTTAGATTCATCGGAAAACATAGCAGAGGTGGGTTCTCGAGGCTGATGGAAATTATGGATTCACTAGGACTTCAAGTACTGGATGCTAATGTTACCACACTTAATGAAGAGGTCTTGAGCATCTTCAGAGCAGAGGTAAGCGCCCGGATTAACAATCACCATAGAACCAAACTCTTGATTTACTTACAAGTCTTGGATACATTACCTAATAACAGCAAAATGAATATAATGTGGCTAATGATTGTTGATCTTCAAAGCTTCTTCCATGTTGACATTTGCTAACCTTTTGGCAGGCGAAAGCAGATGGAATGTGCAATTCACAAACACTAGAATATGCATTGATTGAGCTAACAAATTGAATGTCTCAAGACAGGTCTGCAAATCAAAGAATAGGTATCTAGTTTAAACTGTATATCCATTGTGCATCCCTCCTTTGATCTGAATTCTGCCCCAAATGAAAGTTAGTATCTTAGTAGTAATTTCAAAATCTTTTTGTTATGTTGAATGAACTCTGTGGAAGTTAATGGAGGAAGAACCAACTTTCTATGGAAACAGTTTTTCCCTTATTTTTTGTCTTGGTATGTTAACATAGGTCAAGTATTTAGATGATTACCATTGAAAAAGGATTTTTTTTTAAAAGTTTCAAATAGGAGCCTTAAACTAAAGATGAAATATCAATTCAGTAATTAGGCTCTAAACTATAAAAAATTCTAATTAGACATATCAATTCATCAATTTGATACAATTGAGTGGATTAGCAAGTTGTCTTTACGAGACTAGGGATATCAACGGGGTGGGGTGGGGTGGGGGCGGGGGACATACCCCATCCCCGTCCCCGACTTTCTTCCCATTCCCCGTCCCCGCCGGGGAATGAAAAATTCCCCCCATCCCCATCCCCACGGGGATTATTCGGGAACGGGGAATCCCCACCCCGTTAACAAGTTATAAAAAATAATAATAATAAACATTAAAAAACATTTAAATAAATAACACATATATATCCATCCCCAATTCAAAGTTGTATTCAATATTTTACAATTAAACATTTTATTTAAATATGCATGACATACAATGACAAGAATACTTCTAAAATTATATATATTGTATACAAAGTACTACATTTGTGTGTGTTGTGTGGCAATATATATATATATATATCGGGGACGGGACGGGGCGGAGAATCGGGTTCCCCGTCGGGTGCGGGTTCAATTGACATCCCTATACGAGACTGGTTATATTGAGTTATACTTTGTACTATCATATAGGTATATTAATTGTATTTTATACTATCAGCACTCGTGCCAACAATCAATGTAATAAAAAGAGATAAATATTAAATAGTGATTTAAAAAATAATAATGTACCATTCCTCAACCACGTTGAGTTAGATGAATTTTTTTTAGATACGATGGAAAATACAAAATTCAATTTACATAAATATTAATTGCTCCTTGTAATGGTTTTCTTAAAATTGCACAAGATCCTAATCTGGCAGCTCACGTGTCTGCGGTCCACATGTAGACACATTTGGAAGCTTTTTGTTATCCAATATTTGACTGGTCAAAGTCAAGGTTATTGGGCAAAAGATTTGACCCAATAGAAAAGTATCTAATAGCCCCACCTACATGAAAAAGACTCCAAATACCCTCCAAAAGAGTTTGACTTCAACTCCAAGATTTCAAGCTCTAAGTTAATTAAATATCATTAGTTATATTTGAGGATAAAAAATTTCTTTGATGTAACACATTGTGATTGACTAGCTATAAAATCAAGAATAATTACAATTTTGCATAAAAAAGTTGATCAAGTAGGTACAGTATCATTCTTGTACATAATGTCACGAGTTTAATTTTTATCAACACTTTATTTGACTTTCGATCGAGACTATCACATAAGGTCATGCTGGCTATATTACACACCAGTATGACAATGCTAACCTTCAAATAGTAATTATGAATTTCTCGTAAAAAAAAATTAACTAATTATAATTAAAAAAAAAAATCAATGATTATAAAAAGTTGGATTTCCTCTCACTTTCATTTTTTTGTTTGTTTGTTTATTGATCCACACCAAATCCCAGGGCCGGATTTTAGGCTGTGCAAGCTGGGCTACCGCACAGGGCCCCCAATTTTAGAGGGACCCCAAATTTTAGAGGCTCAATATTTAATATTTACCTAGCTAGTTTAGAAATAAAAATTAAAAGTTTTCAATTAAATTTAAAAGGTTTCATGAAGAGATACTAGCAATGTGTATTTATTTTATTTTAACTTGGAGGTCAAATGTTCAACTCGCATATGTTAGTTTTAAAAATTATGATTTTGAAGGGCCTCAATTATTTACCATAACAGGACCACAAAAACCTAAAATCCGGCCCTGCCAAATCCCAAACTTAAAACCAGGAAAAGTATGAGTTTGAACATGTGTAATTTATGTTTTGGTCAAAATCGAATCATTTGGTCAAATGTTCCACCTTGCACAACATTCAACCCACAAACCTTTTTCTTATGTTTATTAATTACCATTTATTTTAAGAGGCCAAAATTGTAATGGTTTTAGAAAATTCGTCAAACAAATCATGATAAATAATTTATTCATCATTATTATTGAAATATTCTTTAAATACATATATTCCCACTACAAAAACTACTCCATAATATTTCTTATATAATATATAAAGATTATTTTTTTATATACACGTTTGAGTCTTCAATTGAACCTCATTCGTGGTAGCTATTTTTTTTATAACAAATAAAAATATCACTCTTTTATAATATCAGTCTTTTAATATTTTACATCCTCTCAAATGCTTTATCGGGTCGGGGTGTGGGGCCCTTAGGGTTAAGAAGAATAACCCATAAATTACATATGAGAGATAAAGTGTACTAAGTCACACTAGAAAGACATTGCGACAAGTTCAACTGAGAGAGTGTTAGCAATAACTGAACTCAAACAAAAATTAAACTCGTAACCTTTTGATACGAAAAACATGTTCCACCTACTTGATTACCCGCCCATTTTAAGACATATAACAATTTTCTTGCCAACAAGAAGGCAAAATCCGTTACCCCAAGGATTCCTACACCCTAACTCGATATAATGATGAATGGGTAACCGGATAAGTTACCGTGACTCAACGATTTCTTTAGCGGGACCAGTGAGATAACAATTTTATTACAAAATAATGATTGTGTCATTGACCAAGTATGAGCATACACCATTACATTACTTGATTTGCACGTTTTTAGAATAGTTAAATATTCAACCTAGTACTCCTCTTCACATTTGCCAACTTCAACCCACTTTCCTTTGTCATTTCATCAATACTTCAAATCTTCAATTCAAACTTCATTCTTAGTAGTGTGTAGTCTCAATCACCAATATATATTGCCACCCCTCCTCCATTCCCATTCAATAACTCTTCTCTCCTCAATCAAAACGCCAAATCTTTCCAATTATTCAATTAGTTTAATCCCCCCAAAAGAAACAAAAATGGAAACCAGTTTAGAAGATCAACTAGCTCAACTGAGCTTTTATGAAGATGAACATGAAGAAGAAGAAGAAGAAGAAGAAGAAGAAGAAGAAGAAGAAGAAGGAGAAGAGGAGAATAATGGCGGTGAATGTGATGAAGAAAGCGATGGAGATGACTTCTCTTTCGTTTGTGACGCGGCGGCGTTGCTGTCGCCGGTAGCGGCGGAGGACGCGTTTTACAAGGGGGAGATCCGGCCGGTTTTCCCGTTGTTCAAGAGGGATCTTCTCTTCACGGGCGGCGGTGATTTTGAGGATTTGACGGCGGAGAGGTTGCCGGTAACGCCGCCGGTCAAGAAGGTTTTCGTGGAGACAAACGACGAGTCTCCGGTTCCGGGGAACGACGAAATCGCCGGGCCGTACTGCCAGTGGTCGTCGAAGCCGGCTCAGGAGGACAGACCGGAGGTTTGCAAGAAGAGCAACTCGACCGGGTTTTCGAAGCTGTGGAGATTCAAGGACTTCCTCCACCGGAGCAACAGCGACGGGAGGGACGCCTTCGTGTTCTTGAACCCTCCGGCGCCGTCGTCGAGGACGGCGACTTCCGGGGAGAAGAAAAAATCGGAAACCAAAAACGGCGGCGAAGTCAAAGTCAAAGCGCCGCAAAAGAAGAAAAAGAAGAGTGAAAGCGTGTTGGCCCACGAGCGCTACATGAGAAGTAAAGCGAAAGATGACGCCCGCCGGCGGTCGTACCTTCCTTACCGGCCGGAGCTTGTCGGACTCTTCACTAACGTTAACGGCGGGTTAACGAGAAATGTACACCCCTTCTAAGATTTAACTAGTTTAGCTATTCTTTTTACAATTCGAATTTTATGGCAAATAACATGTTTTAATGTATGTATTGGAGTTGGGAGCTGAAAATTCTGCTAATTGTATTATATATTTGAGTCTCGGTGGAATCGCTTCATGGATTGGATCTAATCAAAATAAAAATGTAATGTTAAAAATTATTCCTTATAATATTAATCCGAAATAAATTGTTTGTTACTTAAAAAAAAGTAATATTTTTCAACTTGTAAAATCAATAATTTCAATATGGTACAGATTCACATTTTGGCATTTAATAATAAGGTAAAGGTACATTACATTAACATTTTGTGTAGTATGTACGTTGCAGAGAGTGGGTGCACATGTTCTAAAGTCTAACAAAGATACATTAATTGATCCGACGCGCAAAAGACCAACGCGTACTATGAAGTAGCAACAAATTTAAGGAACTGCATTATAAATGCCTTCACATTTATTGAACACAAAAAATCGTGGCAAATCAAACCAGTAACGTACCATAAATCAAGCTGAAAAATGCTACATGAGTACCTACTATGCACACAAAATACTAAGGGGAGTTTTTTTTTTTTTTTTTTTTAATTTATTTTTACATATTAATCGTGTCTTTCTATCAAATATTTTGAGATTATATTCATAACACTTCTTTGAAAACACCTGTTATGAAAATAAAGGGATTTTAAAAGTTTTTTTTTTAGTGCGATCACATATTTTCTTGATCTGTCAATTAGGACCATATATCGAGACTGTGACAAAGACTTTCTCATGTGTTTTAAGGTAGCGACATTCATAAGGCTCACATCAAAGGCCTCTAGTTAAGCTAAAACAATGTGTTTTTGTAGTCTAATTGGGAAAAAAAAAAGGTCTATATTCTAAAAGAAAACTTGCTTATAAAATATTGTTTTTCTATGTCTTCTCATATTGTCTCATGTTTTCTGTTTCACATTTTTATACTATCGAGATGAGTATGAGAATATCTGTATTCTCAGAACTCCGAGAGTATATACTTTTCTCACAAATCTATACTGAGTACATAGAAAGAAAAAATTAACCACTGTTTTCTCTATGCAAAATTATATAAACATTTAAAGGTCATGAAAAAAAATAAAAAAGAGAACAATTAATACTAGTCAAAACATATTTAAAAATAAAAATAGTCAAAACATACCACATCAAAGTATTCTCCATTTATAGGATTGGAAATACACAAATAAATAGTTCTCAACAGTAGTTTAAGTCATAGGTTCAATTTTTTTTTTTCCTTGTTAATTTCTTCTGCCTTCTTTTGTTTTGTTGTTAACAGAATTGAAAATATTAGTATTACTATTTAAATTTTTTGTTGCAGCCCAAGTTGGATTCTACATTTTTGGGTCTATCAAGTTTGCCAAAGCCCATCCCATCTCCTAAGCTCACTTGGGTATCTTCATTATAGTCACTTTTCAAATGAAGTATTTTTATTCCGCGCATAGTTTAATCGGTCAAGATTCTCAAAATAAATTTATAAATTTTATTTTATTAGCATTCATAGGATTGATGATAAGTACAACATGCTATATGCCCACTTATAACTAAAGAATTATTACATGTCTTAAGTGGCAAATATTCCAGATGAAGTACTACATGTGTTACACACACGTACTGCATCGTTACATAATAAATCATATTACAAATTAGATTACATAAAATTTTAACTGCGTACTTAAATATAAATCTCTTTGATAAACAATGTGTAATGGTGGGAGAGATCATACAAATATTTTATATTTATAAGAGACTTTTAACTTTAAACCAAAAAAGAATAAGTCATATATGGAATGAGGATTTTAGTCATTGAAGGACCAAATTTTAGTCCTTGATCACTCACAAAAAGTATTACCTATACTAATTTGAAATACTCGTAGATTATAAGGACTTCAAATTGTTATAATTTTTTTAATCAATAATATACTCGAGATCTATTAAAACACTAATGTTACATGTACCAAGGAATAAATTTTCGAAGGACAGCGTCTCCACATTCCAATTTTTTTTTTTGGAAAACTCTACATTCCAGTTTTGAACCAATTTAATCTCATTTTTATAACATCATGTGAAATTTCTTTGATATTTATATCAAATAGAGTTCTACACCAAATTTATTACACACAACATTTTTCCTACAAGGCTACAAAGGTGTTACAATCATATGCAAAAGAATAATACAACACATGGGCCCACCAGCTTTACAAGTGACATTTATGACCGTTAGCACAAGCTCCAAATCCCATGTTTAAAATTCCGGTATTCCTTTTTTCTGTTACAGAGTATTTATTTATTTTTATCTTTTTTTACCGTTACTCTCAGCTCACCCCGCTCGATATATCACCTGCGGCAAACAAACAATCTCAGAAGCTCCCACATTTTTGTTTATCCGATTTCGATCTCACTGATTTTTTGATCGGAAGTTTGTTTCTTGGAAGCGATAATGGCGGCGTTGGAGCCGGGGGTTTTGTTGAAGCTGTTGAATGGGATGAAGTCAGGGGATAAGCCGACGGGGGAGCACCGGAGCTCCCTCTTGCAGGTCACCGACATTGTTCCGGCGGATCTCGACGAGAAGAATCTCTGGCCGGAGCACGGGTTCTATATTAAGGTTTCGGATTCCTCGGATTCGGTCTACGTTAGCCTTCCGTTTGAGCAAGACGACCTCGTTCTCAGCAACAAGATGCAGTTAGGGCAGTTCGTTTACGTCGACCGGTTTGAACCCGGTTCGCCCGTTCCGGTCGTCAGAGGCGCCAGGCCGTTGCCCGGCCGGCAGCCTTTGGTCGGCACTCCTAGACAGATCGGAGTTGAGTCCATGAATAAAGTCCGGCCGGCGTGGGGAACGGAGGTTTTTGCTTCTCCCAGGGTTCTGAAGCCTGTTCCTATTGATCTTGATCAGTGTACGCCGGTGAAAGGCAACTCGCCGGCGAAATTTGGCGGTGCTGTGAGGTCTTCAGCCGCCGGCGCCGTGTTTCCGAAACTGGCCGAGGCCAAAGGGGAGATTCCGGCTATTGTCGGGAAGATTTGTGTCACGCCGACGACGATGAAGAAATTCTCAAGAAGCAGAAGCGTAACGGATCGCCGCGAACATAGAATCATCAAAAGCCCCTTCCCTTCCGCGGTAGGTACACTTTTCCGAATAGAATATATATAAATAATAAATGTATTATTACTATTTACTCAAACATGCAATACGTGAACATAGTTACACTATACCAAATAAGAATAAGAATGGGGATAACCAAACTAAGTTGGTTCAATTATTGATTAGTTATGAGCAATTTAGATGAGTTTGCTTTCTTGTAGTGATCCTACTGGCTAGGATAATAGGATGCCAAACAAGATTTATTTTGTCTAAATGTTTAAAAAAATTAGTGGGTTATAGGTAGAGCTGGTCACGGGCTGATTTAAGGTTAAACCAGTGCTGAATTGATTCGAAAATGACGGGCTTAGACCGAGTTAAGCCTAGACTGAAACCAGCTTGTAAAGAGCCTGTTCAAGTCATATAAAAAATAAACCCGGAGCCCAGTTTGAAACTGGCCAAGCCCAAGTTCGGGCACAACCTTGGCACCGTCCAAGCCCGTATCTAGGCCCCTTTGCCATGGCAATTTAAATGTCATTTTGGCCATTCTATTCCAGGTCCCGGAGTTTGGCTACCTCTAGTTATAAGCAACACAGAGTTTACTTATTTGCACCCTTAAAAGATTTGCTGATTTGGATGTTGTTTACCTGACTTGCGATTTACCTTATTAATGACTCTCTAGGCAGAGTTTTGGAGTTTAGGATTACTTTAGCGTAATCCTAAAGTAATCTAAGAATCTAAGATGGTTTAGTTCCTTGTATAATGATTAGTGAAGGTGAGCTTTGTCACCTTAAAAAAGTCAAACATTATTTCTGTCAAGAATTTGCAAGTATTTGATTGGTGTTTTGTTTGGTGTAGATAAAGGAGAAGAAGACTTCAACTTCACCCCCACATTTAAGGAATCCAGTAATGGCAGCTTCTCCAACCATAAGCCGCATCTCGGAGAATCCTCTGTGTTCTTCAGTGGTGGAATCTCAGTCCTTTGATTCCCCTCCGGACAACCCCAATCTCCCTGGAAAATTGAGCATGTTGGGAAAGGTACATTCTTTCCTCTTGGTTACATAGAAAACAGTTGCCTCAACATCTTTGATAGTATGCTTTTGCTGAAACCTGCCTTATGACCCTAACCGACAAATGACCACAAATGAGTTATCTGAACATCGGTGTTTATTGTGTATTTGTGTCCCAGGAAGCAATGCAGCACCGCAATAGAGCCCAGAAGGTTGCTCTTCAGGCACTGAGAGATGCATCAGCCACTGAAAACCTCATCCGGGCTCTCGAGTACGTTTCTGTTAACTTTTAGTTAAAACGGGACACATATTTCAGTTATTGTAACCACGTTTTATATGCAGGATGTTTTCAAACATGAGTAAAGCAGCAAGAGCAGACTTCCCAGCAGCCTCATTCGACCTATTTCTCGAATTTCATCAACAGCTAAAGCAATCAGTGGCAGAAATGGTGTCGATTCAGGCAGCAACCGAAGCCACAGAACCAAAACAGATCAACGATCACGAAAACAACAACAACCCCCCTTCCATTTTACAAGAAATCACTCTCAATTCATTACAACAATCCCCAACTCCCCACTCCCACGCCTCGAAACGAAGAGCTGCTGCAGTTTTCAAGTCGGCTGCAGGCTTCCCGAGCGATCAGAAACCGAATTTGGGAAAGAATTTGAGGCCATCATCGGCCATTAACGACGAGGAGAACAAGAAACCGGGCCCCCATTGCAGCATTTCGAACACAATCAGATTGGGAAAGCGGATTGAAGATGAAGCTGGGAAGTGGTTCATGGATTTCATAGAGAAAGCATTGGAAAATGATGGATTAAACAAGGGTTGTGAGTCAGTGTTATTGAAAGTTGTGAATTGGGTTGAAGTGGAACAATGTGAGCCTGGGAAAAGAGCAGTGCATCCCAGGGCAGCAAACATAGCCAGAAAGCTAAGGATCAAAGTGAAGAATCCTTGAGATCCTATTCCATGCAAGATTCTAATTAGATTCTTTAATCAGTTGTATATTGTTTCTATTTATGCCTCTCCATGGTTAATGTTATTCTTTTTATTGAAAATGAAAATCCCATTTTTTTGAATGCTACTTACTCTATTATATTGTAGTTATCAACATACTTTTTCAACTGAAGCAACGCCTCTACTGAGGCTCGATTTCATGATAGATCACTACATGACATCTGAGCATAATGTACTTTGATTGAAAAATACCTTTTTGTTTGGTAGGATCCCCAGTATTTATTTAGAAATTAAGATGTTGAAATAAAAATTGCGTTTGCCGGGAGTCGAACCCGGGTCTATTGCTTGGAAGGCAATTATCCTAACCGTTGGACTACAAACGCTTGTTGTTCCTGATGGCTCAGGGAAATATAACATTATATATTAATCCATATTCATATATATATATATATATTAATCCATATTCATATATAGACGGGCTTGCTAAGCATACGGGTTTTCAGGTTCTGAGACTGAGATGAGTCGGTGTGTGTGGATGAGGCGAATTCAACTCGCCGGCGCCGCCTCTGCGTTCGCCGCAGCCGACGTTTCCGTCTCCAAGGTTTCACGCCTACCTATATCCTTCACGTCCCTGAAGCCGCCGCTGCCTCGCTCCCTTTCTTCCCGCCGCTGCCTGGTTACCGCCGCCGTTCGCCCCTCGCCGCCCCTGGACAACACAACCCTTCGTAATGACAATTATGTCCCCGCCGGTATGCTACTCTTGTGTGTATGAATGCAGATGCATTCATTTCCTTAAATTTCTCTCGTAGAGTTCTGATTTTTATGCCATTTTCTAGGAGATACTGACAAGAAGGGAGCGCTTGAGAATTGCTCAAAAGTGATTTTGAAAGGAATGAGGTATACTGAACTTGAGGTATGTCTTTGTTTTCATACATGCTTGTAACTGAATATGATTGAACCTTCGATTTTGCACTTTTGGAGGCCTTTTATTGCATCTAGTTGGAGATATAATGATGATAAATTGGATTGTGCAAAACACTTACATGGGCTGTTGAATCATATACTACTAATTTGCAGTAAAATTAGTCAATAATATTAATATGGCTAAGCTTCCTTGCTTGGTGCTGTAACTCTGTAAGTATTGTATCTTAATAACTTTAAGAGTTTGTGGTAACTTGTGTCACATGCATACAATATGTTATGAGCAGAGTTACTTTGCATGCACATATATATATAATAGCACTATTAACAATTGCATTTGCAGAGCTTTTGTCACATTGATACTGATGAGGTTTATAGCTTTTTCCCATTTGATTTTAAGATTTAAATCTGCTCTTCCAAGGTCCCTCTTAAAACCCTTTAGTGATTTGTATTCTGGAAAATATTTCACAGAAATGGGTTCAGTCACATGGTTATAGGCCTGCTCAGGCTTTGATGCTATGGAAGCGCCTTTATGGAAATAATATCTGGGCACAGTGCAGTGAAGAGCTAGAGGGTTAGTTGGTATTTTATATTGAAACTTTAGTATTGCATAGATTATCCATTTGTATATTGTTACTGGCATATTCTGGTTTAGGTCTTTTGAATGTTCCTTGTGGGTGCACACACATACACGTTGACATGTTCTTGGATAGTTGGATCTTTGCATGTGCCAAATACATGTTTCCCACTTTTTTTGCTTATTTGGAAATGAAGATTTTTTTTGTGTATTTTCTTTATTACAGGTCTGAATAAAGAATTCAGGAAAATGCTAAGTGAACATGCTGAATTCAAAGCATTAAACTTGAAAGATATCCTGGCAGCATCTGATGGAACTAAGAAGGTTAACAATATACTTTTATTATTCCCTAGAATCCTCTGTAGCTTGTAGACTGTATCCTGAAGTTAGATGTTCTCTTCTTTGAGAATCATCACATTTATGTAGAACTCGCAGGAGGTTACAGATGTTATTCACGTTGGAAGATGGCATGGTTATAGAAACCGTTGTTATACCTTGCGACCGGGGTAGAACTACTGTCTGTATTTCTAGTCAAGTAGGCTGCGCCATGAATTGCCAATTCTGCTACACTGGCAGGCAAGTTCAAGCACACTAAAATTATCCTTGCTACTCTATTAACTCAATTGGTGCATTGGAAGCTTAGTTGACTGCACCTGTTTGATGAATCCTTTTCATTTTATTTTGATTTATTTTTATGCAGAATGGGTCTAAGGAGACACTTGTCAACTGCAGAGATAGTTGAGCAGGCAGTTCTTGCACGGCGTTTGCTGTCAAGTGAAGTTGGTCCAATTACAAACGTTGTATTCATGGTAAGTTATTGATTATGACACTTCTGCTTTACAACCTTCCTTCTATACTTCTGTATTGCCAATCCATTTCTACAATTCTATTAACAAGACTGAACAGCTTTTTATCCACTAAGTCCAACTCTTAAGAAAGATTATTAGATTTTGCCATACCAATCCAATGGCATAATTTTTTTCCCTCAGTTTGCAAGGACTACTAGTGTTGGTATGGTTGATAGCAGCTTACCATGAATACAATGTCACCTATTGTGTTTTTTCTCGGTTTTTTAATACCAACAATCAAGCCTATGGCCTCCTTTTCAAGTAACTATTAAGTATTAATGAATGGTTGTATATAGGGGATGGGGGAACCACTTCACAACACTGATAATGTGATAAGAGCTGCAGACATATTGGTTGATGAACAAGGGCTTCATTTTAGTCCTCGCAAGGTGACTATTTCAACCAGCGGTCTTGTACCCCAGCTAAAGCGTTTTCTGCGTGAATCTAATTGTGCTTTGGCAGTCAGCCTGAATGCTACTACGGATGAGGTATTTTCTTTGAGAAGCCATCAAGGAATCTGATGTAAATCTTGTATACAGTTGAATTAACTTTTCATGAAAATATTACAGGTTAGAAATTGGATCATGCCAATCAACCGAAAATATAACTTGAACTTGCTTCTTGGGACTCTTAAAGAGGAGCTTCATACAAAACACAACTACAAAGTTCTATTTGAATACGTTATGCTTGCAGGAGTTAACGACAGGTAAAGTGTTTTTATTCGTATCTGCATGACTGCGTGTTGCCCTGCATAATCCACTAAATTCGATCAAAACTTGAAGCATTTTGAGTCCCCCATCATTTTCCACTCACTATTCGAAACTGTACTGTCATCTATGGCATTTCTAATCGGTGAACTTTTTTTTTTTTTTTCTCTAGTTTTGAGGATGCAAAGAGGCTAATTCATCTCACCCATGGCATTCCTTGCAAGATTAACCTCATATCTTTTAACCCTCATTCTGGATCTCTATTTAAACCAACAAAGGAGGAGAAGATAATTGAGTTCCGAAATATTCTAGCTGAAGCAGGATGTGTTGTTTTTCTCCGACTAAGTAGAGGTGATGACCAAATGGCAGCCTGTGGTCAACTTGGTAATCCCGGTGACATACAGGCTCCTTTGCTCCGGGTGCCCTCCCAATTTCAAGCAGCATTAGAAGCTTCAGTATGACCGACATTCCTTCTCTGACTGTTATTATCTCATAGTTATATCCCCCAATAGAAACATATTATCTAAAGTTATTCTTCCTGTCACCTGGGGATAATTTGACCAAGACACAACTCTCTTGAATTTAACGTTGGAATTCATATGAAAGCCCTTTCTGTTCTTCAAATTCTGTTTACATTTAAGATTTTTTTATTATTGACATAAATTAAAGAGGATGTTGCAGTTGACATAAACTACAGGACCCAGAGCCATGATGCTACAGAACCTATTGCCAGACCAATCACCAAGAACAGCACAAGCACAATTCCTGCTGTCTCTGCGTGTTGCAGCTCCACGGTCTTGGGACCCAACATCATCAGCACACTGGTCAAGTATCCATTCGTTACGCCCAAAAGACAGGTCAGTACTGTAACTGGAACCTCGGTTCTAAACATTCTAGGACCGTGGATACAACCGTAGAAAAGAGGCAACAACAACAGCCTCGCAAAGGATGCACCAATTGCAACCTTAGAATTCTCGATAACATAGATAGCAGTTAGGGACTTGCCAACCAAGTCGAATAGATTGAAGCTTGTAATCAACAGGATTGGAAACCAGTCACCGAGGATCTCAGAATGCACGTCCTCTGTGATGTATCCAGGAAAGATGCTTAGTGTGACGACATAGATAATGACAATGCCAAATCCATACCACTTCACACCCCCTATAATGTCACCCAGGTTTGATGTCCATAGCTCCCTACCCATTTCGTCGCCCATCTCTTTGCTCACGGCTTGAGCTTTCAGATCACGGTAGTATTTAATCACCGGGAGTCTTTGTGCCACATTGTAGGAAACCATGCACACAACCATCAATGCAATGCCTACAATGAAGTAAAGGTTTGCACTTTTTCTCAGCCCCTCAGCATCTTGTGGATACACAGCTTTGGTCACAACTCTTAGCAGAGAAACAAGAACACCTGCAAAACACCAATTCGGAGTGGGCCGGAAGATCAGTATATTACATATTGATGAACTGCGAATCCCTTTTTCAACATGAAAATAAGGGTCTTTTTTGGATGACAAGGGAAACTCACAGTCATTATTTAAAGGTGTGCATTGGATAAATCCTGATTTGTGACCTTAGCTAACAAAGGATTATAAGGAGATAAATATCTTAGGTTGCTCATAACTGACTTGTTCTAATAGTTACAGATCAGTTAATACAAGATAAACATATGATATGATGTTAATGACCTATTTATGTCTCATTTCAGTTGAGAATTTGGAGCTAAACCATGACTACAAAAGACAAATTGAGAGTGACCAAATGACTAACTTAATCCAGAATATGCCACCACTATAGGTTAGTATGTTGATAAAAAAAAACATTAAAATCTTACTAATTCGGACAAGGGCAATCAATAATACAATATTGAGTACTTAGGCAAATATGGTAAATAACTAAATACTATATTAGGATGAGAATTCATTTAAAAATGATGAAAACATAGTCCAAAACAAAACATTGGTTAATAGGAAGATAGTTAAATACCAGAAGCAGCAGTGCCTGCAAACACAGCCTGCATGTATCTCTCCGGCAGCTCTCCGGCGGTTCCAATTACACTGCCCTGAACTATCCCGTCGGCGACTCCACACACAACTAGCAACCCCACAGTTACATAGAACCCACCATAGACGCCGACGTTACCCTTCACGTAGAAAGCATCCACCAGCGGCACGCCGACGAGGGCCGCCGTGAATAGGGCCAAGCCGGCGTTGATCCTCGCCGACGGCCGCGATCTGTGCGCGAAGGCGACGACGAAGGAGACGCAGACCAGGTTGACCATCATGTTGACAATGGAGAAAATCCGGTCGACGGAGGCGCCGGGGTAGAGGTAGGAGAAGTAGTCAACGCCGGTGATGAAGGCGTTCCATGGGAGTAGGTAGCCGGTGCCGAGGGTGAAGTAGGTGATGTAGGCCAAGTGGAAGGAGTCTTCTGGGATTTTGGAGGGCGCAGTGGCAAGCAAAAGGGTTGCCGATTCTGAATCGGCGTTGGATGAGGCGGCGGCGGCGGCGGCGGTACCCATTGGCGTCGGTGGTCGCCGGAGTGTTGGAGTCAACTTGCAAATCTACAAAGTATCCTTTTGGGTCCTCATTCCTGGGTTATGGTTCTCATTGATTCTAGTCGACCAATAATTTTTCTTCATTTATATCTAATCATTGATTAAGAAAGAAGCTAAGATTCATAAACTATGAATTTGAGCTTAACTTTTTAATTAAGGGTAAACCATTCAGGTTGATATAATTCGTCAACTCAAATAAAAAAAATCAATGAGTCACTCTTGTTAAGATTTGAGTTTGTTATTTTTTATAGTATCTATTTATATATATAAATCTATTGAAATCCAAAAGAGTCAATGCTCTCAATTGAGAGTCATATTTATGTCGTTTGACCACAAATTCTTTAAAAATCAAAGAATATTACAGTATTAAGGTTTAAGAATATAAATAGGAGGAATTATGTCTTAAATTTCGTACCCAATTGAGAGCTTGTAGCCCACATGAGCTATGCAAATCTTTGATCTCCTATAATATTTATCAATCGGTTATGCTATGTAAGGTGGACACAGTTCAAAACGACGTTGTTTTCATGTGGTTGAGTAATGAGCATAGTGACATCGTTATCCTCCATAATTTTTATACTGTAGATTCATAATTTCTATATTGTAGGTTCATAAAATCTATACTATAGATTCATAATTTCTAAACTGTAGATTCATAATTTCTATACAGTAGATTCATAATTTCTATACTGCAGATTCATAATATCTGTACTGTAGATTCATAATTTCTAAACTGTATAGTTATCAAATTATGAACATATAGTTCTGTGATTTGTGAATACAGAGTTCAACAATTGGAAATATGAACATCGAAAATTATGAACATACAACTCTATAATTATGAATATATATTTATAAAATCATGAACATATAACTCTATCACATGTTCCTAAACGTAGTACTGTAGATTCATAATTTTTATACTATAAATTTATAATTTAAATTTAATAAATTCATAATTTTTAAACTGTGCGATTTCGAAGACAGAAACGCGCGCGACAAGTGGAAAACAATTTTTTTAAAAAAATTAGAACGGCATCGTTTTCAACCGTGAAATTGAACGGTGGGCACGTTTTCACATCATAATTTGCCAATATTTATATTTCCTAGCCCACATGAGCTACGCAATTCTTTGATCTCCTATAATATTTCCTATATGTCGAAGTAAGACTTTATAATCTTTTTTTTTTTTTTTTTAGGAGGGGGAAACCCAAAAAAGTACTTTAGAAGCTATTACATGCACTTAGGCAGATTCAACAAGCCTCCAGTGAGGCCAACCTGAGCTATCATCTTCTAGGGTGTTTATAATCTCCAATGGTGGAGACAAAAAAATATGAAGGCCTCTGGGGAGGGTCTTTGCCAGCTTTTCCATAAAATCAGCTGCCCCATTATGTTCTCGACAGATACCTTGGATCGACCAACTTTCCAAACAGCCCAGTTCTCTACTGCATGCAGTGAGAATATTCTTGGTTACAGGTGGAGGGGGGGGAAGAGCCATTGATGAAATTGACCAGTTCCCTCGAATCCGTTTCGAAAATCACTCTTCTAAAATTCATGCTTGCTGCCAATTGGATTCCCTTGAGTAGAGCCCAGGCTTCTGCTTCAATGGGTGAGCACCGTCCAATCTTGTATGCGAAGCCTTGCTTCCAGCAGCCCGATTCATCGCGGATGATACCTCCTCCTCCCGATCTATCGTCGTGGTGGCCCACTGCCCCATCGATATTCACCTTTACGAAGCCGTTGGGGGGCTTGGACCATGAAACTGGTGTCCATTTGAACTCTTGCAAGACGCGAAACCCTTTGGCTTTGTGGTAAGCTGTATTAGTTTCCTGAGCTTGCAAGATGATCCACTCAACCTTAGCTTTGACTGGTTTCCTTTTGTTTTCGAAAATGGCTTCATTCCTCCATCTCCAAATCCACCAGATTGCCACGGCGAAGAGAGTATTTGTGTCTAGAGGCCTTCTGTCATTACGTTTGCCGGATATTCCTTTCCTGAACCATTCTTCGAACGGGGTAATCTGTTGCAACCCAGGGAAGTACGGACCGAGAGCTTCCCAAATAGGCTTGGCTTCACGACACTTGCGCAGAATGTGCTCCGTGTCTTCTACTACGTTGTCACAGCACCAACACTTGTCACACAGAGACATGCCCCGTCTCAATCTGTTTTTATTCGTTAGAATTTTGTCATGTGCCACTAACCATAGAAATGTACGAATCTTGTTTGGGGCTTTGAGTTTCCAGATACTCGTCCACTTCGCAGCTTCCACCATCGTGGAGGTTCCCGTCGCTAAGTCATATGCTGAGGATATTGAGAAGGATCCCGACTCTTCGTTCTTCCACCTTACAATATCGCTAGCCTCTGGATCAGTCAACAATACCTGTGCTTCGATCTTCTCTATGTACTCATCTGGATGTAAATCCGCCAATAGATCCCATTTCCAGCCAGAGTTCGCATCCCAGTAAGAGGCGACATTTTTCTCCATTTCATCCAAAGGTACATCCCTAATGGCTTCATCAAAAGGGGACGGTCTTCTATCCATTTGTCTAGCCAGAATAGTGTATGCTCTCCATTACCCACCTGTATACGAAGGCCTTTTTCTAGTAGCGGTACGGCTTTCAAAATGCCCTTCCATGCGTTGGACATGTTAACTCTTGGCTGCCACTGCGTACAGTCTGATGGATGAGCTCTGTACTTGGTTTTGAGGATTTGAGACCATAAGCTGTTATCTTCATGGATCAGTCTCCACCCGAGTTTGGCCATAAAGGCGAGGTTCATTAATTCCAGCCTTCTAATGCCCAAGCCTCCGCACTGCTTGCTTCTTGCAATAGTATCCCAACTCACCAGGTGGCACTTCCTTTCACCATCGACACTTCCCCAAAGAAAGTTTCGGATCAGTTTTTCTATTTCCAGAATAACTCCTGAGGGTAGTAGCGTGGACTGCATTATATGGTATGAAATGGATGATAGAACTGACTGTGCCAAAACATGCCTTCCTGCCAGTGAGAGTGTCCTGGTTTTCCAGCCCGATAGTCTACCTTTGACTCTATCCAAGATGGCCGAAAATGAATCCTTCTTTAATCTCCCATGGATGGATGGTACCCCGAGGTACTTGCCCAGGTCGTTGACGTTCGGGATTCCAAAATATGAGGTGATTCCTTGTCGTAAATCTGAGTTGGTATTCTTCGAGAAGTGCAGAGATGATTTGAGTAGGTTCATCCTTTGTCCGGAGTTTAGGCAGAATATATCCAGACAACGTTTCATTTCCTGAGCTTGCTCCATCGTGGCTTCCCCGAACAAAATCAAATCGTCTGCAAAGAATAAATGGGACAGATTAGGTCCATTCCTTGTTAGTTTAATCCCCTTCCATTGGCCCTTGTCCAGTGAATCGTGAATAATATGACTAAGTTTCTCCATACAAATAATAAAGAGTAAGGGAGAAAGAGGGTCCCCCTGTCTAATTCCGCATGTTGGCTTAAACCATTCCGTCAGCTCTCCATTACATTGGACTGCGAACCTGGGTGAAGAAATGCATTCCATGATACAGTCAATCCATGAGCTGTTCAGTCCTACGTCGAGTAGTGTGTTCCTCAGAAACTCCCATGACAATCTGTCGTATGCCTTTTCGAGGTCCACTTTTGCCAATAACCATCCTGTTGATCCTTTTTTGAGCTTCATTGAATGAAGGACCTCTTGGTAAACAAGGATATTGTCTGAAATCAATCTTCCTGGTATAAAGCTTGTCTGATGTCCCCCAATTAATTTTGGTAGGATCTCCTTTAATCTAGTAGCCATGGTCTTGGTGAGCACCTTATATATCACATTGCAAAGACTAATCGGGCGTAGTTGCCTCACTGATGTTGGATTCTCAATCTTTGGTATTAGGCAGATGTGTGTGTCATTGCATCCTGGAGCTAGCTTCTTGTTTAAGAAGAAATCGTGGGCAAACTTGGTCACAGAGGTACCCACCACACTCCAGGCTTTTTGGAAAAAGCCGGCAATAAGACCATCCGGGCCTGGAGCTTTGCAAGGATCCATGTCGAATAATGCACCTTTTATCTCTTCATCCGTAAACTGGCTGTTAAGGGCGTTCCATTCTTGGACCGAGAGAGCTGGAAAGCTCCCATGGGGGAGACCACTGCCTTCTTCTGATCTGTCCGAGTAGATATCAACGAAATAGTTCCTTATGTGTGCTTTCAGCTGGCTTTCATCCGTAATTAAGTCTCCATTGTCATCTCTTAAGCTTGCTATTTTGGCCTTCTTGCTCTTGGTAACTGTTGCTAGGTGGTAGAACCGAGTGTTGCAATCACCCGAGGTGATCCACTCCTCCCTCGACCTCTGGAACCAAATCAACTCTTCTTGGTGTAGGGTTTCATCCAATTCCCTTCTAAGCCTTGTTTCCAGTTTTAGAAGATTCTGTCTAGGCTGATGGTCAAGGATCCGTTGGACTCCAGCAATTCGTACCATAAGACTCTTCTTTCTTTTAAAAATATTGCCAAAGATGTTGCGATTCCAGTCTACCAAAGCTTCTGCTATGCTTCTTTTGTTGTCCTCCATATCCCTTGTGGCACACCATACTTCGCTAACCAGCTGCAAAAAGGACGGGTGTGTGGTCCAGGCCAAGTTGAATCTGAAACTCCTTCTCTCTGGTGCTAAAGAAGGCGGGTGAGTTCTAATGAGCAGCGGGGCGTGATCAGAGTTCACAATCGGGAGATTTTCCACAAAGGCATCAGAAAATCTCATTCTCCAGTCAATATTGCAAAGGCCTCTGTCCAAACGAGCACCTTTGAAAGACTCCGAGCTATTGCCTCTCATCCATGTGAATCTTGCTCCCCTAAACCCCATGTCCAATAAACCTTCCCGGAAGATCCATTCATTAAAGTCTGCACATCTCGCTTCTTGAAAGCTTTCCCTGTTGCTCACCTCCTCCCTGCATGTAACTGAATTGAAATCACCTGCCAGCATCCATGGTAATGAATGATTCCAAGTGTCCTGGCTTAAGTCATTGTATAGCAGTCTCCTAAGACTCCGTTCTGGGCTGCCATAGACAAGAGTGAACATCCACGGTTCTGCCCCACCATTTGACACCTGTAAAGTAATGAACTGTGGGTGAGTTCTAATGACTTCCACCCCTAAAACTTTATTCCACATAACCCAAATTCCCCCTGAAAAACCTACTGCCTCTACCCTCACCCATTCTTCAAACCCAAAGGAAGAGCATATTCTATCAGCTTGAGCGCCTGATACTTTGGGCTCTAGCAAACAAACCAAGGTGGGATGATAATCCCTGCATAATTGCTTGAGGGTGCGCTTGAAAGGCTTCGAAGCTGCCCCTTGGCAATTCCAAACAAGACTAATCATAAAGACGGAAAAAAACAAGAACAAAAAGCGCTAAACGCGCATAGAGCTCTGCTCCTGGGGGCCAAGATGGCCTATGTGATTCACGCCCTCCATCGAGGTTTCATTCTCTGCTAAAATATGACTGCTCGAAGTGCCTCCATGGTCCGGTGGGTTTTCCTTGAAGACATTCTCTAGCCCTGCAGTAATGGGATAATCCCGATATGACTCTTCATGAAAAACCACTGTAGATGCTACTTCTTTCCCAAATCTGGACCCTCTAACCACAGTATGGTCGGTTTCCCCTGCTGCTCTGTTGGGAGCCCGATAGTGTACTCCACCCCTCGCATTTTGGCCTCTCCCACGACCTCTCGTTGCCGATCGAGCTCTTTTCGACATAATTGGCCGGTTGGAGTTCCCATGAGATTCCGCCGGTACAGCGTTGTTAGGGGATTTCTGGACATTTGGGCGCGAAGTTCTTATCCTAGGCAGATTAAAGTTCTGGCGATTGGCCTCCGTCGATCCGGGTGGATCTTCTTGAGCTTGGGCCACCTGTCCTTCCTCCAAGCCATCTAGGGACGCAAAGCAGCTCTGCTCGCCTAGACCTTCAAAACCTGTATCCCTTGTTCTTGCAGCCTCCTGGTGTTTTGCCAACCCTGGGTTGTCATGGCCTTTCGGCCTCTGCCTCCTTTGCTTCCTTTGAACCAGCATCCAAGCGCCATACTTCTTAGGTGGTTCTTGGGTTGCAGTCGATTGGTCCCTAACTGGTTGTCCTCCATCCTGTTGATCAGACTCCATCACCTCGACCCCTGCTATTTTACCACAGTTCTCTTGGCGGTGCCCGTAGGTACCACATTCGAAGCAAACAAGGTGAAAGCCTTCATACTCAATCAACCATTCCTTTTCATCAAGAACGTACTTGGGCATTAAGGGCTGTGATATGTCTATCTCTACACACACTCTTGCAAACTTCCCTTTTGCCGCCAATCCCGTAGTTAAATCTATCTTCACTGGTCTACCCAGCTCCTTACCGAACCTCATTAGAAATTCCTCCTCAAAATATTCTATGGGCATGGTCGGGAATCTAATCCACACTAGCAATTTCTTGGTTTTCTTGTTTCTTGGGTCAAAATTGGGTTCCCACCGCTGCACCACCAGGTAATGGTCGAGCACTAGCCATGGACCACCATACATGGCAGTCTCAATATCTCTGGTAGATTCGAATTTCACAAGAAAATAATCTTGGTCTAAAGCTATCAACTCAAACGGTGCTTCCGGCTTCCACATCCTTTGTAATTTATGCAACAAGAAAGAATACCCAATTGTTTTACCAAGAAGCTTGATAATGAGGGACTTTCGCCAAGGTCTTCTCAATCTTTCCTTCTCTTCTTTAGTGACCAAGATGACTGGATACTCCGATTTCGCCAGATTTTCATTCATCACATCGTCATCCGAACTCCATTCCTCCTCTGTCGGGGGAATCGGAGTCTTTCTTGTCCATGCAGCGCTTGGAGAGACCGCCGGAGTTGTCCACTGGTTAGATCCTGGTGATACGATTTCCGCCATTGTGGGTGAGGCTTGTCTGGTTCCTTGAGTTTGTACATCCAGCTGTGGGGCAAAGGTTTCTCGTCCCCTTTTGGGTTTCTTCGTTGAACGCTCCAGTAGATCTTGGTCCTCCGGCGAACGATGGGTCGCCGTTGGTGAGGACGATGTCAGCAGGGGGTTTGGGTCAAGCTCCATAGAGAGAGAAAATCTTTTCAACATATGTAATAGTTTAGACTTTATAATCTTTAATAACAAGGCCTGAATAAGAAGAGTAAATTATGTGCATTAAACAAAGCCGAAAATAGAAAAATAATAAATACTAAGGAACATGTAATTTTTTATTTTTTTTTGTTATATTACTAAATTACATTTTCTCACAAAGTTTGCACTAAACCAAGTTGCCAAAAATGGTAGGGAGATAGAACTTTCAAAAAAGTTAATATAAATGATAAACTCAAAACATTTTATTTTATTTTATTTTTTTTTACTTATAGAGAGCACGAAAATAACAACTTTAAAAATTTAGGCAAGTTATACCCATAGGCCATAATATCGACAAAAAGTATTGTACCTAAGGCCATTTTTTTTTTCTGTGGTACAAATGGGCCTCAAGCAATCATTTTAAATATCAGTTTACATATAACATGGCAAAGTATACTGTGAATATAATTCATCAATCGTTATGCGGTACATTTGTATGCACCATGCATGGTGCATCCGGAAGCAAAAACGATGTTATTTTGACGTCAAACTTAAAAAAAAAAAAAAAAGAATTGTATAAGTACACATCCATAATTTCATCACATCCATAATTTCATAACTATACATCCAGAATTACATAACTACACATCCATAATTTCATAACTATAAATCCAGAATTGCATAACTACACGTCCATAACTTCAGAACTATACATCCAGAATTGCATAATTATACATCCATAACTTCATAACTATAAATCCAGAATTACATAACTACACATCCAGAATTGCATAACTATACATCCAGAATTTCATAACTAAAAATCCAAAATGAATGAACTAAAAATGAATAACATAATGTTGTTGCTGGGAATCGAAACTGATTTTTTTTTTTTAAGTAGGACGCGCGTTTTGATACAAAACGACGTCGTTTTTGCATCTGTATGCACCATGCATGGTGCATACATGCACAACATAATTTACTATAATCAATTGTTATGCCGTGGAACCGTGTCCACCTTGCAAGGTGGACACAGTTCCAATATGATGCCGTTTGGTAATTTTGGAGTAACGGTACTGTCAGTGGCAGGGCCGGATTTTAGGTTTTTGTGACCCTGTTCTGGTAAATAACTGAGGCCCTCCAAAATCATAATTTTTAAAACTAACATATGCGAGTTTCGAACCTTTGACCTCCAAGTAAAAATACAATAAATACATATTACTACCAACTCTTTATAAAATCATTTTAATTTAATTGAAAACTTTTAATTTTTATTTCTAAACTAGTTAGGTAAATATTAAATATTTGGCCTCTAAAATTTGGGGCCCTGTGCGGTAGCCTAGCTTGCACAGCCTAAAATCCGGCCCTAGTCAGTGGCATCGTTTTCCTTCACCAATCAGAATTTTTTTTTTTTTTTTTTAAATTTGTCAAAACAGCTCAGTGAGACGTTGTGAATATAGAGTTCAAGAATGGTGAATATAGAGTTCAAAAATTATGAACATAGAGTTCTATAATTATGAACATAAAGTTATGTAATTGTAAATATAGAGTTCAATAATTGCGAATATGGAGTTCGAAAATTATAAACATAGAGTTCTATGAATATGAACATAGACTTTTAGAGTTCAAAAATTATGAACATAGAGTTCTGTAATTGTGAATATAGAGTTCAATAATTGTGAATATGAAGTTCAAAAATTATGAGCATAGAATTTAGTAATTATGAATATAAACTTCCTGAAGACAAACACCATTAACAATGAAATAAAGTATTTTTTTAATTGATACGGTGTCGTTTTCCATCAAAACGACACCGTTTTAGAACATGTCCACTTTGCACAGCATAATTTGCCCAGTGTATAATGATCGATAGAAAACCATCTTGGATATACATACCGTTTGAGCGAACAAGTGTAATGCCCAGCCCAACTTTGTTCTTGGGCCATAGGCCCATTGTTACCCTAAACCCTACCTATTCCCATTTAAAAGCCGCAAACCCTAACTTCATTTGCTTTCTTCTTGTGTAGTCGAGCGAGATAACGCATAGGAGGCAGTATGGCTGAAAGAGGAGGCTTCGGACGTGGCTTTGGCGGCAGAGGGAGAGGCGACCGTGGAGGCAGAGGTCGCGGTGGACGCCGTGGCCGCCGTGACACCGAGGAGGAGAAATGGGTGCCGGTGACGAAGCTCGGCCGCCTCGTGAAGGAAGGTAAAATCCGATCTCTGGAGCAAATTTACCTTCATTCACTCCCCATCAAGGAGTACCAGATCGTCGATACTCTCATCGGCCCATCATTGAAGGATGAGGTGATGAAAATCATGCCGGTCCAGAAGCAGACCCGGGCCGGACAGAGGACCCGGTTCAAGGCCTTCGTCGTCGTCGGAGATGGAAACGGCCACGTCGGTCTCGGAGTCAAGTGCTCTAAGGAAGTCGCCACTGCCATTCGCGGCTCCATCATATTGGCCAAGCTCTCTGTGATTCCTGTCAGGAGAGGCTACTGGGGTAACAAGATCGGTAAGCCTCACACTGTTCCCTGCAAGGTAACCGGAAAGTGTGGCTCCGTTACCGTCCGGATGGTCCCAGCTCCCCGTGGTGCCGGAATTGTCGCGGCTAGGGTTCCCAAGAAGGTGCTCCAGTTTGCTGGTATTGAAGATGTCTTCACATCCTCCCGTGGCTCCACAAAGACCCTTGGAAACTTTGTGAAGGTATTAATTTATTGTTTACATGATGCTTTAATCTGGTTTAATTGAGCTGATGTAAATTTAGTATCTTTTTACCATTATGTGAAGTTTATGTGTTTACTTTTCAATATCTATGTTTAGCTTGAAAAATTATAGTTATTGCATAGTCTGATTAAAACATTGTTATTTAGTGTTAGTCTTGATTTTTTGCTTTGGTAAATGAATATTGTAGTTGAAGTTGTGTTGCAGAGTTGCTTATACACAGATGATCCTAGAATTTGCTATTTGTAGGTTTGTGAGAAGAATATCATGTTATGGTACTATCTTGCTTGGATTATGTGAATTGCCCCAAGGCCATTTGGTTTGTTGTTTTGTATGAAACATCATCAGCATACTTAGTTTCATACCGAGAATGCAATTGTGGTCTGTGTGTCCTCTAGATGTTTCATCAGTCATCTTGTTTACCCTCTTTCCTCGTACTCGAATGTTGTAATTGAGGCAATTGTTCCCTTTCCAGTGTGTGTATTCTGTTGTCTGAAGTATTTCTAGTTTTTCCCTTAGTGGTTTGCTCTTAAAATGTCTTGCTTCTCTGCATAGATGACTATCTTGTATGGAAGATAATTGTGCGTGTGCACAGCTAAATTCATTGCTTCTTTGGGCATTATTTATATAATGCTTGTATCTATTGCATAGGACAATTCAGAGCTTGGGTTGTAGCTAAACTATTTTATTGCAGGCCACTTTTGACTGTCTCTCGAAGACATATGGATTCCTTACTCCCGACTTCTGGACTGAAACTAGATTTGCGAAATCTCCATTCGAGGAATACACTGATATCTTGGCCAAGCCCACGACCAAGTTTGTCACAATCGAAGAGATTCCTGATAAGGTTGATGCATAAGCCTTAAATTTACTGCTAGAACTTTTTTCAGTGGGGATATGTTTGTTTAAATTTTGTCTGGGACAAGTGATTTTCCTCTTTATGTTATTCTATACAATCTTGTTCTTTTTTGTCTTATGGACCTGAGATTATTATGTCTTTTCAATCACTAGAATTTCTTCTTCATAAGAGATGATGAATGTTTATGCAAATCTTGGCCTCTAGACAGATTGATATGTTTTCTGGCAGGATGAATCATGATATTAGGTTTCATGAAGGGGCTTGAGTGACCCTGGTTGGTGTTGCTGGAGATTAATAGGAAACATGGCTTTTGATTAATAGAACTATAATTAAAGATTGGAGAAAAGTAATTTATCCATGTTAGATTGTGATGCCTAAAGAAAGTCACTTTGTCACTAACATATTCAACAATGGTAGTAAGGAGAATCAGCCCTAAGGTCATTTTGCGATTCATGCAATCCCCATGAGCTTTACTATTTAGAGCTTGTAACTTATTATGTCATAGTTTTCTCTTCACTCAACATGAGGTGAAGTTAGTAGCACCCATCAATTAGGAGTTGAACATTTCCACCCCCAACTATGTCTGTTAATCAACCGATTGAAGGTTGTTAAGATGTGGAGTGTTCGTGTTTGGTTGTTGAGGTTTTGGAAAATTTTGTTCATATTTTCTAAAAATTTAAAACCTATATTGAATGAGAAGATGTTAAGTAGTATCTTAAAAATAAAAGGGAAAATGACACTTTTTCCCCCTGAGTTATATATTTATAGCACTTTTATCCCCTGAATTATTTAAGTGGCTCTTTTTCCCCCTAAAATGTTAAATGGACATATTTACCCTTAAAATAAATATTTAAAATAAATATTTCATTTATTTTTCTTCTCCAACAAATTATTACTATAATTTGGTTCAAACCAAACAGATATTATAGCAACCAAACCAAAATATTCCAATTACAATTTAGAATCAAAACGCGATATTTAGAGTTTATTAACATCGCAAATCTAAATGGCCGGTTCATGTTCCGAACTGAAAAAATAAAATACATTTATTGTTGAATTTAGACTATTTTAAAATAACAAATAAATAAAATTTAAAATAAAGACGGTTCAAAATCACGAACCGGATCCGAAACCGCCGGTTCACGGTTCATGATTCAGTTCTTTTTGGTTCATAAATTGAAATCTAAATATTGGATTCTAGATCTGAATCATAACCGGAAACTTTTAATTCGATTGCTATAGTGTCCGGTTCAGTTCGAACCGAACCGTGGTCATTGCTACATATACACAATAATTTGTTGGAGAAGTAAAAAAAATAAAATATTTACTTTAAGGGTAGAAATGTCAATTTAATATATCAGGGGGAAAAATCACCACTTTTAAAATAATTGAGGGGGCTAATGTGCTTACATAAATAATTGAGGAGGAAAAAATGCTATAAGTATATAACTTAGGGGGGAAAAGTGTCATTTTTTCAAAATAAAATAAAATACAGTTAAATGAGTCTGTTTTAAAATAATTTTAAATGAATACTAAATGAGTATGTTCTTTAACATATTATTTATTTATTTAAGGAAAACTAAATGAGCATGTTCATTGATACAAGTAAATGATCATTTATGAATGTGTTTCTCTTAGTGAGCATACAAATGTTCAAGCTATTTATTTATTATTTACTGAGATTTAAAACAAACACAAAATGAATATCTACCGAACATGAACACAAATATAAATAATTTATTGAAAATTTTGTTTGGTAATACTCCTAAGTCTTACCCCATCCGTACCATACTAGTATGAGAGTATATGTTAATTTTTATCAATATATAATATAATAATATATACTTTTTTTTTTTGGACTTTTTAATGTTTTTTTAGAAACTTTTATCACCATTTTCAACAATTCATTTAACTAAACATTTAATATAGTGAGATATGTTGTGGACATGACCATGCCATCTTTCTCTTTTACTTTTCCTAGTATAAATGATACAGTATATGATTCAAACAAAATTGTATATACATTTTAGAAGATACTATGTAAAAACAACAACAATCACTGGTAGGTATAAGTGAAGTTAGGAACGCATCTCCGCCACCAATTTGTGGAGCAATGTAGTAACACTTTGTCCGCATCCAAGAGGAAGGAGAGCCTGACTGGATGCCAGCCAATTCATTTAAATTCGTCTTAATTAGCATTAAAGTTCATACTCTCAAATTTTACTATCTCACTTTTACTCCACGATGTAACAAACAATGATATTTTCATCATGTGGTCCCAAAAAAAGTATCTAAATAAAAAATTTGTAAGTAAAAATTGAAAGTAGAGTCTATGTAGTATTTTTCTTAGCATCATATCCCTTTGAGTTGAAACCAGTCAATTTCATTATTTTTAAGTATTTATTTCATTTTGTCTTATCATACGACTACCCCACCATTGTATTTATTCCACACACAAAAAAAAAAAAAAAAAAAAAAAAAAAAAAAAAAAAAAAAAGAGACTCAAAATTAGTTAACATGACACACTATGCACCATTTACTTAGTTGCATTAGTAGTATACTTACCAATCATCCTAAATTCTTAGATTCATAATATGCCTCTTTTATGCCTCTTTTATGTACGGCAAACAAACAAATACTTGTACTTGGATGTAAAAGGCATAATCTCTCACCTTGAGAGCCTCCAAGGAGCCACCCCATAAGAAAGTGAAATACTCACACTATGAATGCCAAGATTCAATCCTACATTATCCTTGAGTGCACTTGTGAACCAACTGAGTTATCCTTGACTGAAGAAAAAGGGTATGGTTTGGCTGGTGAGGAGCACTCTACACCCACAAATGGATGATTGGGTGGCAACATTTTACAAGGGGCAAGCATCTTTATGAAGCAATAGTAGTTAGACACAATAGATTCAACCAAAACATTGCAAAGTATAGGCTGTACAGAGCGAGCATCAAAGAAGCAAGCAGGCACAAGAACCAGTAACATTCCAGTAAGAGACTATAAAAATATGTCACTGAAGGAGTCTTTACTAAGTATACTCAAGAAACATAGGTAATATAGAAGCAGGGGCAAGATAACATTATCATCATCATCGTTATTGAAACAATGTATGATACTGCTCATCTCCTTATTGATCATGAGGAGAGGATGATCATAACCATGCAGGGTTTGTCAATGGCGTGACGACCGCCTTAACCTGCAAGTAGTTCTTCAGACTGTATTCTCCCTTTTCTCTTCCTTGTCCACTCATCTTATATCCACCGAAAGGAATCGCTGCATCAAAGGTGTCGAAGCAGTTAATCCATACAGTCCCCACTCTCAATGCTCGGGTCAAAGTGTTTGCGGTGTCAATGTTCTGTGTGAAGACCCCTGCAGCTAGACCATACCGGGAGGCATTTGCTCTCCGGACCACATCATCGAGATCACTGCAGTAAATAAAATAAGACAAGAGTTGAGAGTCGAGAGTGAAAATTAAAGGAAATCCATATTATCATTAGAGACATTTTGGCCTTTGCCAAAGACATACCTGAATTTCAAGATCGACTGTACTGGACCAAAGATCTCATCCGTTGCTATCAACATATTATCCTGAAGATATGATCATGTTAATACTAATTATATGTAGACATTCATGCTGAAAATTTAAACATGAAAATCTAAATGTGCGCGACGGTGTTACCTTGACATTGGAGAAAACTGTTGGCTTAATGTAGTAGCCCTTAGTACCTAGTCTATCGCCCCCCGCTTCAAGTGTAGCTCCACCTTCAACGCCGAGTTTAATATACTTCAGGATCTTTTCAAATTGTTCCGAATCAATCTGTTATACATACAGAAGAAAGAAAAATAAAGATGCCAGCAGTTCTTATTTTGTATTATGGTTAAGGAGAACAAAATAGGGTATTCTGGTAGGCAATAAATTAAATATCTTTTTTTTTTCTTATAGAAAACACACCACGTGCAAATGTAATAAATGACATTTTCTTATACCTGAGGACCTTGTTCTGTATTTGCCAGGAATGGATCACCAACTGCACGTTTTAAAGCACGTGCCTTTGCTTTCTCCACAAATTCATCATAGACACTCTCATGGACATATGTCCGAGATCCAGCACAGCAACATTGTCCCTGGTAACCAGAAGACATTTATAGTGAATCCTATTTCCAATAACACTTACCCTTTACAGAAGGATTAGGAAACACAAGTGTACCTGGTTGAAGAACAGAGCAAAGTGGGCTAGCTCAACAGCCTTATCAACATCAGCATCCTCACAAACAATAAAAGGAGATTTTCCACCAAGTTCCAAAGTCACAGGTTTAAGATTGCTTCTGGTAGCTAATTCAAGCACAACCTTCCCCGTTGCTGTTGATCCTGTGAAAGCAAGCTGCAGTAACAAACACAAATAAGATAGTTATATCTAATCATATATATCAGCTTTGAAGATTACATCTTTGGTTCTCAGTTAAATCCATGTTTCTGATTGGAATTAATATTTAGATGAGTTCATAGAAAAAAAAAAAAAATTCTGTAGTAGATTCAAGAAATATAAGTACTTAGAATTCAGCATTTCCAAGATCGAAAGATTGAAAATAATTTATAATTTCACTTCAGTCACAAGGGAAAGTTCAAACGACGTCCAAGCACAAAATAAAACACAAAGATGACGGAAGGAAAGCATTAAAAACTGTAGACTACCTTATCCACATCCATATGACTGCTAAGGGCGGCACCAGCTGTGGGGCCAAAACCAGAAACAACATTTAGAACACCTGGAGGCAGCCCAGCCTGTTGCAGAGAGCATAACAGGATGTTAAGTAACCAAAATTGTATAAATAATTAATCACTGAAAAATGGAAGGTGAATATTGTCCGATTTCATAGAGTAACCTCCTCAAGTAGTAGAGCTATGCTAATGACCGATATAAAAATTAAATAATATAGAAACAAAATCACGGGGTTGGTTTGGGGATAAATAGTTCAGGATAAGGAGCAGATGAAGTCTGTCGAAACATGTTGCCATTGCCATGATAGGGTTGAATAAGAACACACATATGTATTTGATAAAAGTGAATAATATCTGCTTTTATGGGGACCAATAGGAAATAGTCTAAAGCCACTGCAAATAAACAAATCAGAGTTGAATATGTTTTGCAGAAAATGACTATACCAAGCAACTAAATTATTCAAG